CATAGTTTGAAATTGCTCTCCAGAATGGTTGTATCAGTTCTCTACTCCACCAGTAATGCTTTAGTGTCCCTATTTTTCCACGTCTCCTTCAACATTTGTTATTTTCCTTTTCTGTCATATTAGCCAAGCTATCAGCTTGTGTTTGTATCCCCAGCATGAAGTAGTATCTCAGAGTTGTTTTAATTGCATTTCTCTAATCAATAGTAATTTAGAGCATTTTTTCAAATGACTATAGATAAGTTTGATTTCTTCCTTTGAAAACTGCCTGCCTCTTCATATCCTATGACCACTTATCAACTGGGGATAAGTTTTAATCAGTTCTCTATATATTTGAGAAATGAGGCCTTTATCAGAGAAACTTACTGTAAATTTTTTTCATAGTTCTTATTGTGTATTTTCCTCAGTCTTATTCTCCCCATCCCTCTCTTCCCTGTAGGGTAAGATAGATTTCAATACTCAACTGAGCATGTATGTTATTCTCTCTTTGAGTCAATTTCAATGAGAGTAACATTCAAACATTCTCTGCCACCAACACTCCGTTTCCCTTCTGCTATAAAACTCTTACTTGCACACCTCTTTTATGTGAGAAAAATTTCCCCATTCTTTCTCTCCCTTCCCCTTTTCCCCAGTGCATCCCTCTTTTTCTCACCTCTTCTTTTTTTTTTTAGATCATTCCAACATAATTAACTCATATTCATGCCCTCTGACTATGTAAACTCCTTTTAACTGACCTAATAATGATCAGCTTCTTAGGAGTTACATATATCATCTTCCCATATAGGAATGTAAACAGTTTAACTTTATTGAGACCTTTATGACTATTCTTTCATGTTTACCTTTTTATGCTTTTCTTGAATCTTCTGTTTGAATGTAAAATTTTTTATTCCACTCTAGTCTTTTCATCAGGAATGCTTGAAAGTCCTATAGTTCATTAAATATCTTTTTTTCCTTCTGAAGAATTATTCTCATTTTTACTGGGCAGTTGATTCTCGATTATAATCCTAGCTCCTTGGCCTTCCAGAATATCATATTGCAAACCCTCTGTTCCTTTAATGTGGAAGCCACTAAATCTTGTGTGATCCTCACTGTGATTCCCCAATGTTTAAATTGCTTCTTTCTGGCTGCTTGAAGTACTCTCTTTGACCTGTGAGCACTGGAATTTGGCTATCATATTTCTGGGGATTTTCATTTTGAGATCTCTTTCAGGAGGTGATCAGTGAATTCTCTAATTTCTATTTTACCCTCTGGTTCTAGCATATCAGGGCAGGGATTTTTTTGGACAATTTCTTGAAATATGGTGTTTAGGCTCTTTTTTTTTAATCATGTCTTCCAGGTAGTCCAATAATTCTTTAATTATCTCACCTGAATTTATTTACAAGTCAGTTGTTTTTCCAATGAGATACTTCACATTTTCTCCTATTTTTATTTTGTTTTTATTGTTTCTTGATGTCTCATGAAGTCATTAGCTTCCACTTGCCTAATTCTAATTTTTAAGGAATTATTTTCTTCAGTAACCTTTTGTAACCATTTTTCCATTTGGCCAATTATACTTTTTAAGGAGTTCTTTTCTTCAGTGAATTTTTTGTGCCTCTTTTACCATTTGGCTTAGTCAGTTTTTTAAAGATGTTATTTTCTTCAATTTTTTGGTGCCTCCTTTACTAAGCTGTTGATTCTTTTTTTTCATGATTTTCTTTCATCACTCTCAAATCCCCCCATTTTCCCCTCTACCTCTCTTAGTTGATTTTTAGAAAATTAATTAATTAATTTTTAGTATTCAACATTCACTTCCATAGGATTTTGAGTTTTAAGTTTTCTCTCCTTCCCTCCTTTCCCCTCTCCCCAAGACAGGGTATAATATGATATAGGCTCTACATCTACATTCATAGTAAATATATTTTCACATTAGTCATGTTGTAAAGAAGAATTAGAACCATTGGGAGGAACCATAAGAAAGAAGAAACAAAACAAAACAGCACAAGAAAAGGAGAGCAAATAGTATGCTTCCATATGCATTCAGACTCCATAGTTCTTTCTCTGGATGTGGATAGCATTTTCCTTCATGAGTCTTTTGGAGTTGTCTCAGATCCTTGTATTGCTGAGAAGAGCTCAGTCTACCAAAGTTAGTCATAAGGTAGTGTGACTGTTACTATGTACAATGTTCCCCTGGTTCTGCTCACTTCACTCATCATCAGTGCATATAAGTCTTTCCAGGTTTTTCTGAAGTCTGCCTGCTCATCATTTCACATAGCACAATAGTATTCCACTACATTCATATACCACAACTTGTTCAGCTATTCTTCAATTGATGGGCATCCCCTCAATTTCCAATTCTTTGCTACCACAAAAAGAATATAAATATTTTTGTTCATGATGAGAAAAGGATCTACATGTACAAAAATGTTTATAGCAGCTCTTATTTGATTTTTAAAATCCTTTCTGAGTGCTTTCAGGAATTCTTTTTGGTCCTGAGACCAATTCACATTTTTCTTTGAGGCTTTGAATGTAGCTGTTTTGGTTTTATTATCTTCATCTGAGGTTTTGTTTTTTGTTTTTGGAGGCAACTGGGGTTAAGTGACTTGCCCAAGGTCACACAGCTAGTAAGTGTCTGAAGCCATATTTGAACTCAGGTCCTCCTGACTCCAGGGCTGGTGCTCTATCCACTGTATCATCTAGCTGTTTCTCGAACTTGTTTTTTAATCTTCCCTGTCAATATAGTAACTTTTCAATGGTCAGGTTCTTTTTTGTTGTTTGTTCATTTTTCCAATTTACCTCTTGACTTTTAACTTTATATTAAAGTTGGACTCTGTTCCCAGGGTAGAGTTGACAATGTTCCAAGCTTTGGGTTTTTAGTACTGTTTTTTGGTTTTTTTTTCAAAACTAATTCTGGGGACCTGTAAGTTTTCAATTCTTCCAAGGTGGTATTATCTAAGGAGAGGTGTGTGGTCACTGGCTCTCCTGGTCTGTGAGTGACCTCAAGCATCCTTTCCTGCTCTGGTACTGTGACCACAATTCCCAATCCCCTGTGGCAGCCTCTAGTATGCTAGTACTCCTCCTTGCCCTGGGACCATAATCTGGAACCACATGGGCTGTGCAACAGAGTTCTACATCCAGTCCCACAAAGGATCCCCACTAATCTCCTCCTGACCAATGGCCTGACCCCCTTGAAATCTGTGGGTAGAGAGTTCTGGAAGCTACCAATGCTGATTCATTCTCCCCTAAGGCCTGCTGCTGGCTTAACGAGGGAGGGCCTGTGCTGGACTGCACTCCATTATCGCCCCAGTGAGACAGAACTTTCCTGCCTACCTTCTAAGTTGTCTTCAGCTGGAAAATTGTTTCACCTTGTCTTTTTGTTGATGCCGCCATTCCAAAATTCATTTTGAGGCATTATTTTAAAGTTGTTTGGAGGGGAATTTTGGAGAGCTCAGGCACCCTGCCTTTACTCTGCCATCTTGGACATAAAATGAAACCTTTTGAGAAAAGAATTATAAAAGCAATGAGAGCATTTGAGGAAAAACTTAGGAGAATTAACAGTTTAGTACAGGAGATATAAAATTTTACCCAATAAGCGCACTCCCTAAAAATTAGAATGGATTAAACATGAATCAAGAAGAAATAATAAAATAAAGCCAAAAGACTAAACAGTGGAAGAAAATACAAAGTACTTCATATCAAAAACAACTGATCTGGAAAAAAAAGTCAATGAGACCAAAATCTAAGAATCATTGGATTATCTGAAAGTCATGACCAGTAAAATTGCCCAGACACCTTATTTTGAGAAATCATCAATGAAAGTTTTCATAATCTAGATATATTAGAAGTTCAGGGCAAAATATGGTCAAGGCGCTCAAGGAAAACAAGTTAAGAAGTTGGAAGGAGAGGGCCTACTAGCATCAAATTTTAAACTATATAACAAAGTAATAATCCACAAAATGTTTTTACATCAGTAGAATAGACTAGGTACCCAGCATGCTGAAGCAAATTAACATAGTGGCCTCATGCTCTCTGAACCTAAAGGCTCCTGGCACTGGGGTAAGTACTATGTTTTTTTGACAAAAACTTCTGGGAAAACTGAAAAGCAATCTGGTGGAAATTAGGTTTAGACCAACAACTTCTGCTCGATGTTAAGGTAAACTCCCAAAGGGTAACAGCATTGTAAAGACAAACAACTCTGAAAGATTTGAGAACTCTAATCAGTGCAGTGACCAGCCATAACTCCAGAGGACCAATGATGAAGACTGCTACCTTTCTCTTGACAGAGAGGTGATGGACTCTAGATGCAGAATGAGAAGTGCATTTTTGGATACAATGAACAAGAGAACTTATTGCTTGACTGTGCGTATTTGTTACAAAGGTTCTGCTTTCAAGGCTTCCTTAGCTGCATGACCTTAGGCAAATCATGTAACCTTTCATACTATGGAAATAAAGGGATTCAACTACATGACCTCTGAGGACCCTTTCAAATCTAGATCTATGATTGTATGATTATGCCAAACTGCTTTTCAATTTTCCTAGCAGTTCTGGTCAAATAGAGAATTCTTTCCTGCGTCATTTCTGTTCTTAGGTTTTTGAACATTAGATTATCCAGTCTTTTTCACTGATCTGTTTTTCTATTTTTAAACAGTATCCAAGATTTTAATAATTATTACTTTTTCATATAATTGAGTTCTGGAAGTGCTGTTCTCTCTTCATCCCTACTTTCCCCCATTATCTCCCTTGAGATTCTAGACCTTTTATATGCCTCTGAATGAATTTTGTCATTACTTTGTTACAAAGGTTTTGCTTCCAAGGCTTCTTTAGCTGCTCTATAGCTCTATAGCTATAGAGCTTAGTTCTATAAAATGTACCCTTGGTAGTATGATTGATAGAGCACTTAGGTAGTGGTCTGTATTGAGAGAGGGAACACTCATCCTTAAAACATTGAAGTAAATATAGTCATTGTAATAGTTAGTTCTTTGACTTGAAATGTTAATCATTTTCCTGTATTTTTCTGTCAATTCCAGTGATTTGAAGAAGAGGTATAATATCACAGCCATACCCAAGCTGGTGGTAGTGAAACAAACTGGAGAGGTCATCACCAGCAAAGGACGGAAACAAATTAGAGAACAAGGCCTCTCCTGCTTCCAAAACTGGTTGGAGGGAGCTGATATCTTTCAGAATTTTTCTTCCTGAATTTGTAAATAATGGCATAGAAGGCACCAGGGGACTTTAGGGTGTGATCATTATACCATTTTCATAGTTCTGAAGATTATCCTTATACTGAAGGGAAAAGTAAAAGGTAAAATATTAATTTCTATTGTTTATTAGTATTTTTGTCTTATTGTATTTCATGACAGAGGCACTAGGAAAGAGCATTAAGTAAATATTTCTCAGGAAAAATATCTTCCCTGCTGTGATTATACAGGCTCATTTATTATTTTTGTTATTCTTAGAGTAATTCTGTTAATAATACCAAGAGCTGAATGGGTCATTTCTGAGTGATAGCTGGCTGAATAGGCTAGTATGTCAGTCTTTTAAAAATCTATGCAAAAATTCACATGTGTAGATCTGTTCAGGTAAAGTAATATATTTCTTCATATAACAGATTTCTGCTGATTGATCTATTTTAATGATACAAATTGACAACTATATTAATAAAGTTTATAGTCTTTGTGCTTTAATAAAAAACCTATTTCTGTGTTATTAGTCTCTGATTATCCCCTTTATAATTTCAAGCAAGTGACATCAGGGAGCAAATGAATAAATGAATCCCCCACACTATCCATTCCCATGTTCTTAAAGGCCATATATTCTTTCCTCTCTTGAAATATCTTCTTTCCCTTTTTATTTTTCTGAAATCTCTAATAATCAATAATGTTACTGTTTAAAAATACTGTATTTTGGAGCTAGAAAGCACTTGATGTTTTAGTCACCTTTCAACATCCACACCATTTCAATACAAAAAAAATTTAAGTGCCTTCTATATCATCATCCTCAGCTCTTCTCTTCTCTTCTCTCCCCACTGGAACCTTGGGTTCTGCCTCTGAGACTGATGGGTCTGATAGGTGAACCTTATCTTGCCCCAAACTAGGCTCTCTTGGCATTTCTCAACTACTGTTTCCAAACTTTTGTACTCTCTCTTTCCATTTCCCATTTATGTGTTGTCTTCTTCTGTTAGAAGTTAAGCATTTTGAAGACAGAAACTATCTTTCTTGCTTGTGTTTGTATCCCCAGGACTTAGCACAATGACTGGTACGTAGTAAATGCTTAATAAATATACTCTCAATCTGTCTCTCTGTCTCTTTCTCTCTCTGTATATGTGTGTGTGTGTATATATACACATAAATTTACTATATTGGAAAAGCATTGCATTAGGCCCTAGGGATAAAAAGAAAGAAAAAAAAAATCAGTCCTTGCCCTGAAGGAGCTTATATTTTATTGGGGAGATATAATATATACATAAATGAGTATAGTAAGAGGTAGGGAGTTAAGCAGCAAAAGGAAAGATCAGATGAAGGGTACTAGAAATATTGAAGCAGGGAGAAAACACTAAGACATAGATGGGGAGCTTAGCTTTATGAAAGAGGTACTACCTGAGTTCACTTGCAGAGGAAGATAAGGATTCTGAAAGGTGGAGATGAGAAGGGGGTGCATTGTAGGCACAATAGACGTCCTGTAAGAATGCAGAAAGTTCAGAGACAGCATACTGCAGGTTAGTTTGACTGAAATGTAGAATGCAGAGTAGGGAATAATGTGGAGTAAGACTGCAAAGCCAGTTTGGAGCCAGACTGTATAGGGCTAAGGAGCACCTGTTTTATCCTAGAGGCTAAAGGGTGCCATTGAAGGTTTTGAGGCTCAGAACTGACATGATCAGACCTATGCACTAGAAAGCTCATTTCAGCAGCTAGGTGGCAGATGGTTTTGTGAGGAGAGAGACTAATTATAAGAATAATTATAAGGTTATCATAGTAATCTAGCAGAGTGGTTATGAGGTCCTGAACTAGACTGCTAGCAGTATGTATGAAGAGAAAGGGATGGCTGTGAGAGATGTTGTGAAAGCAGAATAGACAAGACAAAGGGAATGAATGAACAAATGAATGAGAAAGCATTTATTAAATTCTTAGTATGTGTCAAGCACTGCTAAGCTTGAGAGAGACAAATATGAAAACAGAGGTGGTCCTAAAAGCAAGGTCTAATGGGAGAAGACCATACACATAGTACAATAATAAGCAAGGAGTTACACTTTGGTTTGGAAATTTATAGGAGTGGTGAGTGAATCTACCTGGAAATAGATTGACACACTCCTTCTAAGAACAATGGAAGAGTTTATTTAATTGTGCTTCTAGAACTAAAGAGAGGCTATGGAATGGATGGAGTGGGTGCCCTGTTGGTAAGGTGAAGTTGTGAAAAAAGATGGCTGGGAGAATGTAGTCACCAATCAGAATAGCAGGGCCCCAATGCAGAAGCTTCAAAGAAGAAGGGGTTAAAACCTCCAGAGAATGGTTTCTTGTCCATGCACGGAAGAGGGAAGAGTTGAATATGATACAGATGTCAAACCTGGGTGACTGGGAGGATGGTGGCACTCTTAAAAGAAGTGGGAAAGTTTGGAAAAGGTGATCATTTAGAGGGAAAGATGATGATCTGTTCAGTCTGAGATGTGTTGCCTTTGACTTTTGGACCGGTCCTAAGTGGAGATAGCCAGCAGATGGGTAGAGATGTGAGAATGACATTGTGGAGAGAGATTAAGTCTTCATGAGTAGATTTGGGAATCATTTATGTAGAAATAAAAATTGAACCCATTAAAGCAGATGAGGTCACAAAGGAAGAGATCAGAGAAAATAAAAGAGAATCTAAGAGTCTTGGGACATCCTTATGGGGCAAAAGGTAAATGATTATCTGGAAAAGAACAGTAAAAAGGTATGGTAATACAGAGAGTAGGATAAACAGGAAAGAGCAGCGTCATGAAAGCCAGTGGTGGAGAGAGTGTCAGGAAGAGTGCATGGCCAACAAGAGTAGATGGGAAAAAGCTGCAAAAAAGCCATGGAGAATGAGAACTGAGAAAAGGTCATCAAGAGTCAGGTATATTGAAGAGAAGTGAGAAGAATGGCAGGGCAGGCTACTATTTAGACAGAAAATAATAACAATAACGATGATAATAATTTTTGTTGTTCAGTTGTTTTTCAGTCACGTCTGACTCTTTGTGGCCCCATTTGGGATTTTCTTGGCAAATATACTGGAGTGGTTTGCCATTTCCTTCTCCAGCTCTTTTTACAGATGAGGAAACTGAGGCAAACAGGGTTAAGTGACTTGCCCAGGGTCACATAGCTGGTAAGTGTCTGAAGCCAGAGTTGAACTTGGAAAGATGAGTTTTCCAAACTCTAGGCCTAGCATTCTATACTGCGTCACCTAGCTGCATGATAATAATAGCTAATATTTATACAGTTTTAACATTTGCAAAGTGTTTTTTTTTATATATTTGTTATCTTACTTGATTCTCACAACAATCTTGTAGGGTGGTACTATTATAATCTCAATTTACAGATGAGGAAACAAAAGCTCAGAGACACTAAGTAACTTGCCCTAGAGTCACACAGCAGCATAGTGAACCAAATGGGAATTAACTCCACAATTCCTTCTCCATTGTACCCAGATTTGGGACTTCTCTCAAAGTATGTCTATCCAGTTTTCAAAGATAACTGGAAAGTATTCCATAGCTTTCCTTGGCTAATTATTATTCTTACTATCAGCATCTTACTGACTTGGATTCAGTTTGTTGACCACCATGATTTGGATCCTTGCCAGTCTTATATGACCAGTTATTCTCTAGCTTATTCTTTCTGTTGCTCCCTGATAATTTAGCCAACTTTTAAATATCACTTTAGAAGTACATCTTGCCTTCAGATGTATTGGCCACCCTTAATTTATTTTTTAAAAATATGTTTTATTAATGCATTTTGTCTTTACAAAAGTCATTTCTCAAATACCCCTCCCCTACATATTGAATTTTTTTTAAAAACTCACTGCAGTGACTATTCTGCAACATATACCTCATTGTAGCCTCCACCTCTCTGCCTTTATGAAGGAGGTACTATGCTTAATTATCTATATTTCAAAGTCTCCACTTATTCTTCAGTTATTCAGAATTTAACTTCCCTTTAGTGATCTTTTCATTTATTTGTCCATCCTATATTTATTGATACTCTATGTCTTCAGTCTGATCATTGATGAAAATATGAAACACTAGGCTCAGGACCAAGCAGTCTTACCCATTTAAAAATATATCATAATTTCCTCTTAATTTAATAACAATCCAACAATAATAATTCTTATTAACCATAAATTCACTTTTCATAGGAATTGTGTTTTTCCAGTATAAAAACATTGGCTCATTCCTAATAACAACAATCTGAGTTGATACTTTGGTTGCCCACATTATTTTAAGTTTTCCTTGTGTCCTCGTTAGGATCATTTCAAACATCAAAAAGAAGTTGAAGCAAAAAAAAAAAAAAAAACAAGTCACTTAACCCTGATTGCCTCACCAAAAAAGCAAAAGAAAAAAAAGTTAAAGCAAATAGCCTTACAAAAATTTAAATAAATGACAAATCTGTTGCATTACCACTTGCAAATACATGGAATAATAGAACTTTGCAATTGGACAGAACCTTAGAACTTATTGGTCCAACTTTTTTTTTAATTTTTAAATGAAGAAGCTGAAGCCCAGTATGGTGAAGTAATTTAGCCCAGGGCCACACAGGAAGTTAATGTCAGGGTTCAAAGGACCTCTGCTTGGCTCCAAGTCCATCATTTACCCCTATCATTTACTTCTTTTGGCCACAACGTATGTACTATTATTGACTTGGTTTATTGTTAGTAGAGAAAGGTCAGGAACTACAGGGCTTAGTCAAATCCATCTTTTCTACTTTGTAATCAAGACAAAATCCCTGTCCTTTGAGAGTTCTGACTCAGCTATTCAATCCCTTTACTGGTAGCTTTTCTGCATTTTCATTGAAGGGGGGAGAGATATAGACATGGTCCTGTCTATAGTTTTCTCTCATTTTTAAAATGATCTTTGAATATATCAAATCAACACAAACCATTATTAAACAAAATTAAGGCTTCTCTGTAATACACATTGCTTTCTTCAGTTGCATAAACACTAAGCAATTTATGATTCTGTTGGCATGGGAGCTTCT